TTAATTTTTCACCTCCATATTTCCAGCTAATAAAGAAAATCTATGTGTGGATCAATATATAGATACAAAATATAGATATAGATGTAGATATCAATATACATATAAATATAGATATAGATATATAAATAAAATTTGTCTAAGATCTATTTAGATTATGTATAAGATTAATTCAACTACTTCCATTAATTATGTTTCCATCTATAATTTTTAATTATTAATGTTGTCTTAAAATTGCCAAGTGGCTTCATTTTAGCTTGTCACTTGGCTTAACCACAATGCATATTACTCTCCTTGTAATATAATATAGATTAGAAAAGGATTTGCTCTAAGTGGACAATAACAATAATTCAGTGGAATCCCACAAGTGGGGTCTGCGGAGGATATTGGGTACATAGTCCTTACCCCTACTCTAGAGGAATAGAGAAGCTGTTTCCGAAAGACGCTCCTCTCAACTTGCTCTAAGAAGAATTTCTGAATTATGATCTAGATTATGGTTTTTTTTTTCTCTGCAAATCATTAATCTGATCATTACTGGTTTGCCATCTAGCTGTTTTCTTTTTGTTGTCTAGAACCTTCTATATAGAAATTTTGGAAAATTCATACCGAATAAATATCAAAGTACCGAAGTACCGAATTAATTCTATTCGGTCCAGGTTTTTCAGATTTTATGCCCACCCCTACTTTTTAAGTATCAGAGATATATGGATAGCTGGTCGCACTACATGTCACACTACAGAAGAGGGATTCTAAATACATTGATGGAAAAGCTGCCATAATACAAAGTTCAACAAATGATCGAAGACATCAGAGCAATAAACACATTGACCTATAGAAACTAGTGTAATATGAATGAGTTCTGATTTGAGATTCATTTGGAACTGACGATGTCGTGCAACAGAAAGGAGCGTCTCCTTCTAGCGGAGTCGGAGCCAAGATTTCAAGTTTATGGGTTCGAAATTCTAATCATTAGAGGTTACTGTTGCGGAAGCCAAATGTATATAGTGTGAATAAGTCACAACTACTATACCAAAAATTATGACAGCCACCAAATAATAAATAAGACAATAAAGCAACAATAAAAGGAACACCAGAATTTACGAGGTTCGGCTAATTTTGCCTACTCCTCGGACACAACCAATATTTTATTCCACTCCAAAAATACAAGTGAAATAATACTAAAGAGAGAAGATACAAATGCCTTAAACAGATGAGAAGGCAAATGAGAGGTGTGTTTAAATTCTAAACATTAAGCCTTCTTTTATAGGGAAAATTTTCCAACCAAATGGCTAACCCACCGATGTGGGACTTTGCCAAATTCAACAAATCTCCACCTTGGCAAAATTCCACATCTTCAATCTTCTCTCAATAACAAATTTTGGTTGTGTCTTCATCTTCAATCTTCAGTGTTCAACAATGTTGATCAAATCCAAACAATATTGAAACTTGACCGCAGTCACTACTTTTTGTCAGTATATCAGCAGGATTTNGAAGCCAAATGTATATAGTGTGAATAAGTCACAACTACTATACCAAAAATTATGACAGGCACCAAATAATAAATAAGACAATAAAGCAACAATAAAAGGAATACCAGAATTTACGATGTTCGGCTAATTTTGCCTACTCCTCGGATACAACCAATATTTTATTCCACTCCAAAAATACAAGTGAAATAATACTAAAGAGAGAAGATACAAATGCCTTAAACAGATGAGAAGGCAAATGAGAGGTGTGTTTAAATCCTAAACATTAAGCCCTCTTTTATAGGGAAAATTTCCCAACCAAATGGCTAACCCACCGATGTGGGACTTTACCAAATTCAACAGTTACTGGGTTCTAAATTAATCATTTATACATATTCAATGGATTTTGTATGACAAACACAGGTTTCGAATCAAAGTTACTAGGTTCGGCTGAACCCGGTTCCGACACTATACCTCTGCCACTGCCTTCTAGGGCTTCACAGGATAATGGTCAATACAAATCAAAAATTTTTAAATCTCATTTATTCTTCTCCTGAAAGAACACAGATCAAGTTATTCACTTAACCTAGTGAGGTCTGGGGAGGGTAGGGTATAAGCAAACCTTACCCCTATTTCGAGGGAGTAGAGACGTTGTTTCTGAAAGACCCTCGGCTCAAGAAATACCTTGGAGAATGATAAAAAATTAATAAAGGGAGTAGAAAGAAGAAGAAAAGGAGAAATCACTATGCTTTGCTACTCCATTTTCATTTCTGTCCTTTCTGACCAGAGGGGTTGCTCTGATGGTAAGCAACCTTCACTTTCAACTAAGAGGTTGTGAGTTCGAGTCTCCCCAAGAGCAAGATGGGAAGTTCTTGGAGAGAAGTATGTCGAGGGTCTATTTGGAAACAGCCTCTCTACTCCAGGATAGGGGTAAAGTCTGCGTACACATTACCCTCCCCAGACCCCACTAAATGGAATTATACTGAGTTGTTGTTGTGTTGCCCTAGTCCCCTAACCAAATCCCAGAAGTGTATGTTCAGCGTAGCAAGTTTTGATAAACGCTCAGGGATTTACAACGCAGGCTAAGTGTTTCATCTCGCTTAAGTGACATTTCAGTGCATCCACCGATGTGCATAATTTGCTTCGACATGGAGTTTAAGAAAGAAAGAAAAAAATTTGGAACTTGTAATTTTAAATATACCATGACATTTTTTAGGCCATAAAAACATTCCATTAAAGGTAAAATGCGAAGTTTAAAGTTATATTCTTACCAAATATAAAAAATTGCAAAAAGGAATGTACTAATAGGAAATAATGTTACATAAAATGGAACGAATGGAGTTTTCTGACAGAGCTAATCAGTAATTATTACTTCCATTGTTTTCTATTTTTTGCTGAGATTTGCCTGGATTGTGAGATATTCTAAATCTTTTGAAATAACTTATTTTCATATGGCTTTAGGTCTACCGTCTACCTCTGGAAAAAACTTATCCACACCCGATGTATACACCAATTCTAGTTAACTTAACCATATGAAATAAACTAACATCTACTAGACGTTTTTAATAATAAAATTAAGAAAAGGTAATAAACAGTCCTAATATAATTGAATGTTATCATTACTCTCTGTGTTTTTCCGATTTCAGATTTTTAAGTCTTTGGTTAAGCTTATTAAACTTGTATGGATGGACAGTGATATAATATGATGTTATTTGTAAAGGAGCTCTTAGACATATTAAATAACCTCATAGGATAGCATCCTTTGAAAGCTAAGTTTTCTTATAGTTAACTTCGTTGCTACGTGTTAGAGCTAAGTAGAAAAGTAATTTTGTAAGTTGCTTTGTTGAATGCATTTAACAGTAATTAGTTTTGTGATTTCATAGCTAATTTTTATGTTAAAGAAGAGTTGAATTATCTACTATAAGTTAGTGTGGAAAGGAGGAAGCTAGTATATTTTTGGCTTTATGAGATCTTGAAAAAATCAATAAGATAGTATCGTATTTATATTCTCATATTGTACTTATCGAAATATATTAAAAATTATTTGAGTAATACAACGAGGGTGTACTCGCAACAAACATTTATTTAAGAAGAAAGAAGGAGATTCTGGGTGCTTAATGGGAAATGTGTCAGCCTAATTTGCTCGCTCACGATAGTGTCTTCCTTTCGATATATTTTTTGTGGAACAACAAAAATATATAGCTAGAAAATATTTAAGATTATTATCATTATTATTATTATTTAAGATTATATAAAAAATAGATGGAGTTAACTATGGTTAAATACTACTAGTTATATAATTAAATAAGGTGACGAGTGTCATTTAATTATTGGCTTGGCGTATACACTGGGTGAGGATAAGTTTTTTCCGTCTAGCTCTTCCCCTTTTAACTTATTCTCAGAACTTATTCTTACATAGACTAGCTGCCCCACAATATAATAGTCTTTTTTTGGTTTCCCATCCGGTGTCCGGTACCTACATTAGAGCCCAATTATATCCAGATTCGCGCTGCATAGGGCCTCATTCGGGAGGAAGCGCTCCCTACCAAGGATTTTTCCATACTCAGGGTTGAACCCGAAACCTCTGGTTAAGGGAAGTGCAGTCCCATCCACTGCACCACATTCTTTTGTGGTCACAAAATAATAGTCAATGTTTGTATATATACAAAAATATACATAATTTGTATATAATTATGTATATTTGACTAACAATAGTAATTATCTGAATTCAGCTTTATAAATCCTCTGTATCAATTTCCTCAGGATGCACAGTACCTTTATTCAGATACAAACTGTAAACAGCTTACCCAGTACCAATACAAAAGAGTTGTATAAGGTCCAGATAGACCGGGAGTTCACCCAAAAGAAGAAGAAAAAAAACGATTTTTCCCCTTTGCATGGTACTTGTCCAAGGGTTTATTTTTCACACAGAGCTAAGGAAACAAAAATATAAGGAACTTATTTGGTCCACCACATAAGGAAATCCTTGCGCCTATTAATCTTCTTCTGCAGTTGAAGAACTCCGTATAGAAGGGCCTCGGCAGTAGGCGGGCAACCTGGAACATAAATGTCAACCGGGACAATTCTGTCACAGCCTCGCACAACAGAATATGAGTAGTGGTAGTATCCTCCACCGTTCGCACAGCTCCCCATTGAAATGACCCACCTTGGCTCGGGCATTTGATCATAGACCCTACAATAAAAAAGCAATATGGGTTAATATTTGACTCATTAAAAAAAACTTACGTTAGAGCAATTAATTACAAGGAGACATTCAAATATTCTCCTTTTTTTACTTCTCTGAGTTTTTCTTTCCTTTTTGGGGTGAAGGGAGGTGTTAGTAACCAATTGGACTGTGCAAGTCCTGAATTACCAGATTCCAGATATGTGAGAAGCATGCAAGATTTGCAAACAAGCTAGGTGAAAATCTAGATAGTGTAAGATGTATGATTCAAGATCCAAACACTGGGAAAATGCACCTGCAGTGGAACAAACTAAAAGAATTTTGGAGAATTTAGGTGTCTCTGGGTCGGATGACTATAGGTGCACATAGTTAGTACATTAAATTGGGAGGATCTAAAAGTAAACTAGCAACGAAGAAAATGAGAAAATACTAAACTACACAAGCAAAACAGGAGTGCTCCATGCAGTGGATGATATTTCAACTACACCATAAAGACTAGGGATGATTTTTTGAGCAAGCTGGTACAGTTTGAAAAGTCCAGATAGTTTCATTTTACTTTTTACACCTCTGTTTTGATGTGGGCTTTTTTATCAAGTATAATTTTATTGATGATGGAAAAATTCTTGGTATATAAGAGGCACCCAAGAAAATAGATAACCCATAGGCAGATATGATTTTTTACACACGACACCTAATTTTCTGTACAAATAGGGACTCATGGGTGCATCAAGAAGACATTAATAACTGGAGGCTATCCCTAATTTGTCAATTCATGCTCTTCCCTTTGAACAGCTCTCCTATTTCTTTCCCTCCATACCATCCACATAAGTGCTAATGGAGTAACATCCTACATCCGGACTCTTCTCTTCCGTCTTCCAAAGCCCAACTACAATATTGCATCCTTCACGGTACCCGACATGGTCCATTGTATCCCAAACCATCGAAAAAGCTAGTAATATAGACGTGTGATGCTACCTGACAATTTAGTAAGAGATAATCCACGTCCACCCTGACTGTTTACACATGAAGCACCAACTAACATATGTAATCCTCCTCTTTGTCAAGTTTTCGGCCGTCAGAATTGCACCCCTTGCCGCTGACTAAGCGAAACACGCCTTTCTTGATGCCTTAGGGATCCAAACAAATAGATGGGAAAATATTGACTTCTTTAGCTAGCAACTTACGCAGTGAAGTACTAAGAATCGTTCATGTTCCCTAATGCCCATCCAAGTCTTGGCTCTCTACCAGTAAGGTCTGTTTTATAGAGTATATAGCTTAAGAAGTCTTTGAAACTCCGCTATCTCCAAATCGTGAAAGTTCCTTCCAAATTTGAGATCCTAAATAACACTTCCCCCATGTTCGAACTTGTTGGATTGTCATCTGTTTTTGACAAGAAATAAGGTAGATATTCAGGAAAGTGATTGTCAACATGTTCTCTCCACACCACCTGTCCTCCCACTCCAAAAAGAAAACATGCACCTATCCCCCACCCTGAATGAGATACAACCACTAGACACTTCTCATCCCTTTATAATGTTCCTCTAAATGCTGCACCCAAAAAGAACAGTGATGTTCTCGGTTCTCCACCCCCTTTTGATGATGCCATACTTCTTCCCCGTCACCTCTCTCCATAATGCATGCCCTCTGTCCCAAACCTCCACAGTCATTTCCCCCACCTTAACCATAATAGTTTCCGAGTTAATTAAGTGAAACTTTATTGCACCATCAGCCGAACCCCATAAGAATTTCCTCTCTAGTCTTTCCAAATTTCCTGTTATGCTAGCGAGTACCTGTAGTATAAACATGAAATAAGTGGGAATGCTCGATAGAGTGCTTTTGACAAACACTTCCCCTTTTGACAAATACATTTTCTGCAAGCATACAAGTCTTTCTCTACCCTCTCTACTACTGGAGTTCACACTGTTGTTCTTTGTTTGAAGTAGCTTTTATATGTAAGCCATAAAGGTCACAACCCCAAGGATGCCGTTCTAATAATACACCATTTATTTGATAGGAAAAATTAATCATGTCAGCTTGATACCATGATACGCCCCTATATGATACATTGATAGGGCAGTGGAAGGCGCAAAATGGTAAAACCCAACTTTTTAAGATCTTTTTCAGTATCATATATATGGACAGCTGGTAAGCTACCACTAATACAAAGTACAACAGATGATCGAAAACAGCAGCGCAATAAACACATTGACCTATAGAAATAAGTGTAACGTGAATGAGTTCTGATTTGAGATTCATTTGGGACTGACAGATGTCCTCCAATAGAAAGGAGGGTCTCCTTCTAGGACTTCACGGGATAATGGTCAATACAAATCAAAAACCTTTAAATCTCATTTATTTTTCCCTTGAAAGGTCACACATCAAGTTACCCTGATGTAATGTTCTGCATTTTTTATACAAAGAGATACCTTGAAGAATGACTAAAAGTTTTAAAAAGGGGGTAGAAAGAAGAAGAAAAAGAGAAATCACTCTGTTTTACTAATCCATTTTCCGAAAAAGGGAGTAGAAAGAAGAAGGAAAAGAGAAATCACGATGTTTTACTACTCCATTTTCCGCTCTTCCCTTTTGCCCTAATCACCTAACCAAATCCCAGAAGTGTATGTTCCGTGTAACAAGTGCTGTTAAAGGCTCAGGAATCCCTGTTCAAAGCAGGTTAAGTGTTTCATCTTGCTTAAGCGGCATTTCAATGCAGCCACCAATGTGCTAAGGCATGCTCCTCAACGCCTACAAACTCACTCTTTAAGAGGACAACACTAAGTATTGCTCCCTCTATTTCAATTTATATGCATAGTTTGTCTCGACACGGGTTTAGAACTTGTGATTTTAAATATGCTATGAGATTTCTCAGCCTATAAAAAAATTGCATTAAGGGTAAAATGGGATGTTGAAAGTTATATTATTTCCAAATATAAAAAATTCAAAATTGAACGGACTTATAGGAAATAATGTCACATAAAATGGAACTACGGGAGTTTCCTGACAGAGCTAAACAGTAAGTATTACTTCGCAAATCAACATATAAATTGTTAAATAAGAAAACATTGATGACAACAACTAGCCCTCAGTCTCAAGCTAGTTGGAGCTAGTTGGGTTGGCTGTATAAATCCTCATAATCATAAATGCTCTGTTTGGGTCTATGATATTTCAATACTCCATACTATCTAACACTAGGGGTTCTCTAATATACTGTAGTGGTTATATCTACAATATAGTAAGTCTTCCAATAAGCACTAGTCTTCTAGTTGGTATCACCTGCTTTTAACTTCCAATTGTTTTCTATTTTTTTGCTAGATCTGCCTGGATTTTGAGAGATTCTGAATCTTTTGAAGTAACTTATTTTCATATTAGTTTAGGTCTGCCGTCTACCTCTTCCTCTTTTAAGACCTTCAATCATCAAAGCCTGTCATCTTTAACTCTTCAGCCTTTACAAGCTCTTACACTGCATTGCACGACAATCTTACTCTCATGCATCTTCTGAATTATTGCTAAACATTAGTAAGTTTTATGGAAAATTCACGGCCAATTTCATATCCATCATAAAACTATGACAAAAGCTAGTAACATGTTCACAGCATCAAGACACAGTATAGACAAATGAAGTAGAAGAAAAAAAAGGGAGGCCACATAAGCAAAAAGCTACACGTTGACCATTTAAAAAAGCACCACCAATGTGAGGCAGATTATAGTCATCATACCAGCACAAAAATGTTTACAATATGGTATTTATCCGCAATTTATTGTCCTTTGTTATATTGAGTGCTTATCCTCCTATTAATCAGGAAATCAGTCATCCCAGTACCAAATACATTACTTATTTGAAGCATCACCTTTTGATGCTCGACTTTGCCACCCTATATATTACCAACAAAACTCTTAAATAACATGACAAAAGATGCAAAACAACTATACCTCAATACCAAGCAAGTTTGAGTCCGCTCCATTTAAGCCCATTTTGTGAGAATTCGAATATTTGTAGAGTTTTTATGTGTTAGCATTTGAAAACAAATCCTTAGATACATTTTCACAACAACCCTCCATGGATGCATAGGCAGAACTTTAAAGAGCCTGGATGAACTACATGTTAAACTCTATCACACACCATCTCTTTATAATTGCAATCTCACTGTCTGATAAGTTACATTGTTCCTGTGAGATATGTTCATTCTGAAGCCCCACTATACACTCCATGAAGAACTTCCAGAGCATGGTAAAGTTCCCCCAAATCTTAACATTTTTCCTCGATACAATATACATTATACAGCAATAGTACTCTTCCACCATCTACTTTTCTACTAATTTACAAATAAATTCATCAACACTGACAAAAGAATAGTTCCAATATCATAAACTAGAGCCTCATTCATTACACTCACATTAAGACAATGCAGATAAAAAATCAGTAACTAAATAAAAAATTGACGAACTTTTTGTTCAAGTATATAGTGAACTTAAACGAACTACAACTGCCCTGACAGTATATAAAATCTATTGAGCTATCATGTTTCGTAATATAAACAACAAATGACTGATCTCACTGAAACACAAACATTGTTACCAGTAATCGAGTTTCCCTATATGTGCTTATACGAAACTAAATTCCAATGGAAAAATTTCAATGTAAATACAGCCAAACAGGAAAAATAGGGTTGACAGTCAGAAGTAATACATACTTGCGAAGAGCAGGGGCCATTTTATTGGTAAGTGTACCAGCAACAATCATACAATCAGATTGTCTCGGGCTAGGTCTGAAAATTACACCAAATCGATCAAAATCATAACGCGCAGCTCCAGCGTGCATCATTTCGACGGCACAGCAGGCCAGCCCAAATGTCATGGGCCAAATGGACCCGCGCCGAGCCCAATTCATCAGATCGTCGACCTTCGATATCACATACTCCGCCGTTTTCGATATCCCAGCCGGCGACGTCGTGGACGGCGGCGGTGCGCGACCATACGTGGCCGGAGAAGACGAAGGTTGCTGTGAGAGTACTGGGAGTGTCGTGTGGATCGTCGCCGCACTTTGAAGGAACGGCGCCGTATCGGTTAGCCGTTTTGCGTTTCGAGCGATTAACGCCATTACGGATTCAATGGAGAGAGAGTGTGTGTGTGCGCCCGCCTATAAATTAGTAGAAAATGACTCAAAATATTAGTCCTTTTTTAACTTAAAATGAGAGATTGTCCCTATTCCATGAAAAAGCCGACGGTGTTATAAAATAAAGACCGTAAAGTAAAAGACAATTATAGAGACAAACTGTTATATTAGTCGAATTCAAATTAATATACATAATGAACTTAAATCTCTTCTATTTATAGAAGAAAGGAAGCTGTTGTGTAAGCTGCTATTATATCAAATATGTATAATCTTCTACTGAGAGCAATGTTTATCCATAACGGAGTACTGAAAAGATAAGTTTATTATATTCGATATGGATAATCTTCTACCGGGATAATGTTTATCCATAACGGAGTACTGAAAAGATAAGTTTATTATATTCGATATGGATAATCTTCTACCGGGATAATGTTTATCCATAACTGGGTACTAAAAGGATAAGCTTATTATATCCGATATGAATAATCTTCTACCGGGGTAATGTTTATCCATAACTGGGTACTGAAAGAATAAGCTTATTATACCCGATATGAATAATCTTCTATCGGGGTAATGTTTATTCATAACTGGGTACTGAAAGGATAAGCTTATTATACCCGGTATGGATAATCTTCTACTGGGGTACTATTTATCCATAACCGGGTACCGAAGTGATAAGCTTCTTCAGGAAGCTTATTTCCAATAGAGTACTAAATAGATAAACATATTTACGGTGGAGTCCCATATGGATAAGCTTCTTCAGGAAGCTTATTTACAACGGAGTACTAAATGAACATCCATAATATAATATATTTATAACACTCCCCCTTGGATGTTCATTAAAAGATAATGTGCCTCATTAAAACTTTACTAGGAAAAATCACGTGGGAAAAAATCCCAGTGAAGAAAAAAGAGTACACATATTTAGTAAGACGCATTGCTAGTTGCCTCATTAAAAACCTTATAAGGAAAGCCCATGGGAAAAAACTTTAGTAAGGGAAAAAGAATGCATCGCTTATTTTACTCTCCCTGATGAAAACATTGTTTCAAATATTTGAGTCTCCGCATTCCAATCTTGTATACCATCTTCTAAAAAGTTGAAGTTGGCAAAGATTTAGTGAATAAATCTGCTGGATCATCACTTGAACGGATTTGTTGCA